GGCATGAAATAAGAGTATTTTTATTAGTCAAACATAGATAAATAGTTAATTTTTAAAAATTTTCTTTTAAAGGATTACGTGCTGAAGTATTCAAATAAAGTATATATAGTGTTTTTACTTTTGAAGATGTCCGTTTTTTATGTACGCTCAATTTTGTGAGTAACTGTACATGTAGAATTTCAAAGACAGCGAAATGAATAACATATAATTCATTATATGTACAAGAGAATAAACTTTAGATTATATCATTCGTCAGAATATTCACTAAAATGTAAAATACGTTGTGATTTTACAATTACATACTTCAGTAAATAATAATTATTTATTCATTTATTCATTATACGGACAAAACCCATTGGTATACAATATAACAAGACATCTTTTCAATTGTTAATTAATTATGGTAGATCTAACTTAGACCGAACTCAGCCCTAACCTATTCTTTATACCTAACCTATACATATACATATGTAAACGGACTGCGATTCTTTTATAGTACATCATAATTCGCTATAGTGAACATTTTGGAATAATTTATCGTCTTTTACGAACACGAACGTTACCGTTCGCGCGTACTATAAATGCACAAAGAACCGGAGCACAGTCACATATTTTCGGTGCACGGGCGGAGTATAAAGGGTTCCACCGAATTTAGCGAAGTTTTACAATGTTCGGACAGTTTCGGCACGACGTGACCCGGTTCATATACTTCGACCTGATTTTTCGACGCGGTACCACTCATTTTCGGACTATAATCCACCCGGTTCCATTTTTGCCCGGTACTCGGCTCCGCTTTTATCCGATTTGATCTTTATTTCCATCTGGGTCGGTCTAAAACGACGATTGGAACACCAAGAATAGCAGACGGTGGAATAAAATCTGGAAACCTGAACGATTACGTTAGTCTAATTATTCGATAACTAATTATACAGTGATTCAAGACGGTCAATTTTAATTTCAGTTATCGCGTAACTGTTACTCGTGGAGGCTGTCTCCGACGTCCGCCACCAGATGGCTACATTTCCCGCTTCTACCACATCTATCACCGATCCCTATACAGGGTGTCCCAGGTATTAATGTTCAAACTTTGTTAGTGTATTCTATGGCACAAAGTAAGAAAAAAATGTTATGTAAACATAGGTCATATAGAGCTTTATTAAGAAGTTATAACAAAATTTCAGAATAGGAATAGTGATTGCATTAGAATAGTGAAGCATTGGCTTGATATATATAATATAATTTTGATATATATATTACATATATGTAATATAATTTTGATATATATATTACATATATATAATATAATTTTGATATATATATTACATATATATAATATAATTTAGCTGTGTTTATTACATATATATAATATATGTTAGCTATGTTTNTATATATTACATATATATAATATAATTTTGATATATATATTACATATATATAATATAATTTTGATATATATATTACATATATATAATATAATTTTGATATATATATTACATATATATAATATAATTTTGATATATATATTACATATATATAATATAATTTTGATATATATATTACATATATATAATATAATTTTGATATATATATTACATATATATAATATAATTTTGATATATATATTACATATATATAATATAATTTTGATATATATATTACATATATATAATATAATTTTGATATATATATTACATATATATAATATAATTTTGATATATATATTACATATATATAATATATGTAAGCTGTGTTTATTAATACATTTCGAAATGTATTAATAACCGTTGTTGACAATACATGATTGACATCGATCGAAGATTATTTTTTATTTTTTATTTCTTTTTTAGTTGATTACTATTCCTATTCTGAATTTTTGTTATAACTTCTTAATAAAGCTCTATATGACCTATGTTTACATAACATTTTTTTCTTACTTTGTGCCATAGAATATACTGACAAAGTTTTAACATTAAAACCTGGGACACCCTGTATATACAGGGTGCCCGATTTTAATCTACAAATGAAAATTATTCTTTTTCTTGCATCACACTATTTTTACCGCATCATCGACACCGTAATGATCTCGTTGTGTATAATATTTATAATTACGCTTGCAATGGAAAAACTTTCTTCCGTCAATGATATAAGTTACAAACAGTTAATTTTGAACTGTTAATCGCACGCTATATAAAAAATGTTCTCCAAAGAAATGATATAATTTTAAGGGGGCTACAAGATGCAATAATATATTTTTCTATAAATCCACGCCTGTAGGTTAATTTTGATTTTGATTTAATTATAAATTTAATTTGATATTAAACTAAATATGACAAACAAATCTGCTTTAGTTTACTAGATATTTGAGTGCAAATATCGCGAAGTGACACTGATCATAGAACTTACGACATGTTTTTCTATATCTGAGCGTTTTAAATGTACAGGGTGAGTCATTCGACACTTTCACTTTAACTTTTCAAACAAAAACTGTTTCGAACAAAAGTTATTCGATATACAGAGAAGCAGATAGGATGACAATCAATTTGTTGAATATAGAATAAGAAACAAATCGGTCTAAAATGACAGCAATGTCAACTAATTGTGTTTTACTGTAAATTGGAATTACTGTAAATAAAACCTGGGGAAATTCGGAGAACGCTTCCACAGGAAATTATTGACCGGAGCTTTCAAGAGTCGATGATAATTTACCTGATTAACGAAATAGCTCTCGGTCGCAGCAGGAGCATTCGAAAGCCGAGTAGCGGCGCTGCAGTAAATTACGCGTCGAATAAAAGCGAGCAGTCTCTTTCACAGGAGAATTGAGAAACAAACTAGTCGGTGGTTCGCGATCTAATCATGCGCCGGTAGATAGCCGGGCGAGCGTTCGCTCCGAAAACGGTCCGCCTCGGATCGGATCTGATCGATCGATCTATGTAGGTGCAGCTACCGAAGCGCGACAGACCGGAAATCAAGGCGGATTGAAAAGCGGCGAGAGGCAGGAGCGCAGCAGCAATGGCGGCGAAGGCAGCCGCGACGGCAATCGATGCACTTCCGGCATCGCCAAATAATTTGTCTCGTAAGCCGTTTCTCGCCAAGGTGGTTCCGGTCGATCGATATCGAGAACACCCTGCTAGGAAATTCTCAAGGTGCACCAACGCAGCCGACAACGGGGGCCACGGTTCGTTCAACCGTTTAGAAAGCGAGCGTGCCGGCGCAGCTTTGTTTTCTCGCCTCACCTGTGAATCGGAAAAAGCGAAACCGAATCTCCGATCTTTTCTCTCACGAGGCGGCGACCGACGGACGATTTAAGTAGCCTCTTTCTCTGTTTCTGTTGGATGTGGGTTACAAATAAGCGAATTTTTCCAGCCTTATTAAGATTTACCTAATTGAACATATTTTTTTTGATTGCATATTTAAATTCGAATCCAGTGGTATCTACTGCCCCATTTTGGTCTCATTGCAAAGAATGAAGTTTTACCTTTATTATAAAAAGAGAATTGGTTGCTAACTAGTTGCTACTTACGAAAATAAAGTTTTGATTTCTGCCCTTCTTGAAAATGATAGTTTTCTAGCCATTTAAACGCAAAAAATTAACTAATTTTTTGTGTAGAGAATAAAATAACGTTTTTCTGACAGTACAGGAAATAGTAATTCATGGTGCATTGATCATTAAAAATGCTGTTGAAAAGAAAATCAACAAAAACAATTTCATGTTCAGTAAATGTCATCTGACATTTATAATTGTAGCATCAATGGATAGCTGGGATTCTTCCGATTAAAATGAGTCCAAACACGATGTTAATCGGACCAAGTTCGACGATTTTTCTTATACAAGGTGTGTCGTCTTAAGTAGCTATTAAATCATGCTTTTTACAAAAAGTTGTGAAGCATGTGGTCTCAAAGATGAGTTTCTTCTTGGTAGAGAGGTTTCCAAGATTCCAAGAACAATTTCAAGTTACTTGAGGAATACGAGTTTCGTGGCTCACCCTGTATAATAATAAAATTTTTGATGAACGTAGTCCGATCTCCATCGTG